TTAAAGCGGAACATACCTAAATTCGACACTGTCTTACTTCACTCAAAGTGGAGCAGCTTACGACGAAAATACTTAAGAAAAATTCCAACAGACGTAAACACGTTGAGTTGTGGGCCAAAAACATGAAAGATTTCGGGAATTTCGGACGCCATTTCCTCCGCGCGACATCCACAAAAATCCTCGCAGCATGTACGCGCGTGTGCCGAAGGCGATGGGACAATTTGTTCTAAAAATAGAACTGTTGTCCCATATCATGGGGACAACCTCAGTACTAGAAATGGCGCGCGCTTACGGTCTCCTTCCCCGATTATGGCTCCTGTTAGTATGTGTGGCTGGGATTGTGGGAGTATCGTGTATTATGTATTATTTCGTTCTCACTTCAAATAGCTTCAAATGCATACAACCCGCCATCTTCCAAAACAAAGTCCAGAACAGTCCGGGTACGAGGAGGTCCTAGTAGAGTTAACGGCCCTTTTGGCTTTCGTGAGATAACCTTGGATCAACCTTTGTAGAGGGCCCTAAAGGGGAATAACGGGAATAACAAATTTGGACGGAGTTCTGGCCATACATTATTGCTTTTATTCTCAGGCGGCGCGAAACAACAGCCGCAAAATTCGTCGGTGTTTGCAACAAAAGTTCACTAAATGTTACTGATCATATTCTTCCAGCAACAACTGGCGACAAACTAACACTTAGGCAAGTAGGCACTTCTGCGTGCCTGTGCCGGTTCGAAGCAAACTCTTCGTCGGACGATGCGTACAAATGGCCGGTACTTACAATTGGCCACTAGCCTTCCACATTCTTCCCTTCTTGGGAAACCGCAGGAAGCCTTGGGGAAGATACACGATACCACCGCTGTAATAGATTGAATGCCCAGAATACAATGAATACAATAATCCCTGACGAGTGAAACACAGTGATCGGAAATAACATCTTTCAACAATTCACCAATGATCAAAACTCGGGTCGGACCTGACAAATATTGCAAACATCGCTCATGGTCAACCCATTATGTTTGGAATGTTTTGGTCCAGAAGTCAACAATGAAGGGCGTTGCTTCAACATAAGTAAATAAAGTAAAAGAAAAGTAATATGTCCCATAAATAGTAGCAAAAGGCCTTCGTTGCAAATGTCAGATGCATGGGCTTAACTAGTCAGTTATAAACAAGTCAAATTAATAGGAAGAAATATGTTATAGGAGTCTTGGAGTGCGGAATTTACTTGAGCTCGTTGGGGGTCAAATGAAACAACAGGATTAACAAAATGTACAGAATGTAAAGTGCTGAAATGTTTTCAGCCGGTTTTTCCCCGATTTCCTCAGTGACTTTGTATTATTGGCTGAGAGCAGGCGAATTTTCCTAAATTTTTAAAATTGGCCTTGCAGCGCGCACGTTTCCAATTTTTTTCCACACTTTTCAATTGTGGTATTTGCAAAATTCCGTTTAATTTCACTCGCCGGCCTGAAGGCTTATGTAATTAGAGTGACTAAGAGCCTCTTCATATGAGCCCGGTCAACCGGGCTGGCTTGGTTTCCGAGATCTCGCCTCGCCACTCTTTCCTTCGTAAGAATGTCGATGGGTTCATATGAGAAGCAGGGCTGGCTCGGTTACCGAGATCTCGGTTTTTGCGACCGATATCTCGGTAACCGGGATGAAAATTTTCTCATATGAACACTCCAGCCCGGGTAACCGGGACGAAAATTTTTAGACAAAATAGCTTCGCTTTCGCAACATAGCGGCCAAAATGGCATAATTTTTGTCTTGTATGTATTTATACTTTAGGAGTATGCGAATTAGCTATATTAGTAAAGTTACAAGAGTTCACAAAGCTACGARAGCCGCGAACGATACAAGTCTATGTTCCACCATTTTGGTTGTGTTTCTTGGAGAAACACCAGAGAGAGTAATGACTTAAACATTCCACGTTGCCGACTGGCTACCGGACAAAGATCATTTGCATATCGCGGAGCAAAAATCTGGAATGAGCTGAGTGATGATTTGAAAAGTTTACCTTCTGTGAAAGCTTTTAAGGGACACTTGATCAAACATATTTTAAATGTTAATAATGTAAATTCTTAATATTCAATTTTAAATTTTGTAAATTTTTCAATCTTTAATACTGTAATTAATTTTAGACTCCTTTCCCATTTTGTTTATTCATTTTAATTGACGTATTTTTATCTTTTTTATTCCTTTTGTAACTGAAAAGCCCAAGATGGTACCTTTGAAGAAATCTTATAAAGTCCTCGAGATCGAGACTGATTTAAACTGGGTCTCTCGAATTATTAAACGGAATTTTATAATTGGATCATTTTTCTTTTGACGACCAACAGCTGAAATAGTTGTCGTTTTTCCGGCCGCAAAAAAAGAAAGAAAAAAACAAAAAGAGAACAGTCAAGCATTAAAAAAAAAAAAAAAGAAAAAAAACGTTTTACGGGCTGAAATCACGAGAGCAGGAAAATCATCTTTGTTCTGGTGAATGAAAAGGGTAAAAAGTCTGTATGTTTTCGGTCTGTTTGCTGGAAAACTGGATTTTAATTTTAAGCCTCTTCATATTAATTTAGGATAACAGCATGAACACGACCCACACAGACATTTTGTTTGCGGATTGCATTTCAAACATTTTGACTCGCGTTTCGATTAATCGCGGAAACAATATTCTCCGGTGTTTTATAATACCTTCCCACGACTATTCATATAACGGCAATTAATTTATTTTTTGGGGTACTAGAATTCCTTCAATTTGACATAGCGCGTTTCCATATATTCCGATAATCAGCTTAAAATATTACAAGGTGTGAATAGTGATGCTCCACATGATGAAAAGAAAACTTTCACTGGTGAAAGAAATGTAATTTAATCAGTCCTACATCTGAAATGTCATTCGCATCAGAAATTACAATCATACATTCTAACCTTTTTTTTTCACACACCAAACTATATTACTAATTAACGCTAATGACTGTTCGTTTCTCTTTTACATCACATACACCATACATTATTTACCACAACATCACGACAGTTGAAGAATTCGAAAGTCAAAGGAAATTAAACCCGAAAGAAAATATATCCGGCCATTTAGGCGCTTCTCATTTTTCATAACGTCAATGTGTAAGGCAAGAAGTACCTTAATTATGTCTTTCTACTAGAAATGTCGGAATTAAATTAATCCTAGACACATAAATTTGTCGTTTTTTCATTAAGGGTGACGTGCTAGCGTAAAAGGTTGTCGAAATCTATTTGTTAGGAGGAAAAGTTGTTTTTTCAGCTGAGTTTTCAGCTCAAACATGAACGAGTACATAACCGACAGTTCGCCCTTAAATGTTAAACGTACAATCACAGGCTAAAAACTCGAAAAGAACTCATTATCTGTGAGAGGTCAATAACCTTTTTTAACAAAATGTTCGCTTAAACATTGTCAATGGCAGAAAATTTGGAGAAAGTTCCAGCGGCGAAAGTCTCTGCTTGTGGCGAACAAAATTATGGGATTCATGACGTGTTTCAGATAAAATAAAATCAATGTCACCAGGAAAGCATACATGTAACTGTTCATGTCCAAATCGCCATGGGCAAATTCGTCGACTATCATCATAACTCCGCGAGGAATATAGCACACTTGAAAAGCAAAAACCAAGATTGTAAGAGTCTTTATAAGTCTCTTGCGCTTTCGATATTGTATCGCGCGAGACAACTTTCTGTTTAGAGGTAGCGCGCATAGTGGCGTTAACCTAGTCTTCAGTGTTTTTAGAATCTTGAAATAAGCCATAGTTTGAATGAAGAGAGGGATAGCGATGAACAAAATCACTAGATACACTTGGTAAATCGGACGATAAAGTTCGAACGGCCACTGAGGCTGACACAAGTCCATACCGTCGTCTGGCTGCACCTTCAATATGGGAGCGAGCGGCAACGAAGAAGTAATGTAGCATGCGGGCCATATCGCGAAAATTATTAGCTTGGTATTCCGCAGCGACAAACGTCTTTTCAAGGGCCGCACGATGGCTCGAAACCTCTCCAGAGCAATCGTTGTGTGCGTGACAACCGATACAGTAACGAATAACTCCTGCATGGGAAAGAGAACCTCGCATAAGAAGTTCCCAAAGGGCCAGCCGACAAACACTTCTATGATCCGCAATGGCGCTACCAAGGACGCCACGGCCAGGTCGCTAACCGCTATGTTCACAATCAGAAGATTACATGGCGTCCGCATCTCTGGCCAACGGTATACTGTGAAGACTATGATGGAGTTGAGCAAAACTCCGAAAAAGATCACTGCTGAAAAAAGGATCGTAAGAGTGATCTTGTAAGCTTGCTCGTAAGATTCGAGATCTCCAGCAGGTTCCATTGGTGATGTCTTCGCGAACGTTGGGTCTGTTGCCGGCGAGGTCGAAAGATTTTGGGCGACGGTTGAAGATGACCACTCTGCCATCGTGTTGCACCAACTGAGTTTATCGTCTGAATCCCTTTAAATCCATTAAATCCGTAAGTGAATGACGGTCAGTAGGCACAATTAACGCGTTTTGGTGATGGTACACTTTCACAAAGCAAACTTGATAGGCTCTTTGCTTGTGATGAGCCGCACAGCAGTAAGCTATTCAGTTATTGTCAGTTGACTGTCCTTATCGATATGAGTTCTGATGACTTGTTTTCTTTTTATATGACCCAATTATAACACAGTCCGTGCGTGTCACGGGTGCACCGGGGGATGACCCTTGGGATTTTTGGAGGGCGACTGCAAGGTCTGCCGAGTGGTTCCTTTAATCTAACGTGCATTGGTCAGGTAGTATTTGATGTTTTACTAAATCAAGTAACTTTACCTTTTGTCTTGCATGGTATAAGTATATCCCAACAACAACATATAGGTCTTGTAGGTCGTAATTTCAAACCTCGACTCTGTTTCAAACCTGAAGCAGCTCAGAACCCACTCAACTTAGGAGAAGTCTTCTCCCCACCCCACTTCGACACCCGCTCACTCCCCCGACAAGGGTAACTACACATGGACATATGGGAGCCTATGATTCAAGTTGATAACGTCTTCATCTTCGTCAAATGCATGATTTGGGTTTTATTTGGATTCGACCTTAACATACATTATGCTAGACTCAAACATTTACGTAACAGAGCACATGTAATTGATATTGACTTATGACTATAATGAAAATGTTATCCCGCAAAAAAAAAAAAAAAGTTGTTATGACATGTTTATTTAATACCCTAGAATTTCACAGTACGTTGCGACAGTTATCGATAAGTGTTGCATGTGTTCTCCTTCAAAGTCTTAATAAATAGAAACTTTGACAAAACACGTACATGTAGACGGCAGATTTTCACGGCAACACCTGGAAAACATTATGAGAAAATGAAATAATTCTTAGTACGTCAGTTGCTGCCTTCCTGATAGGAGACAGACAAAAAAATCCGCGCAGACAGGAGGAGACTCATTAGCACTGTTGGGGGCGATGAGGGCTTTTGATACAACCGCAGTTATCTAAGGTCAAGTGCCTGCCAGTTTTTAAAAAAAACAGGAGTACTAATGTTGAAAAACAGGGCTGCTTGAATAAATGACAAGGGTCGATGCAAAGCACTGCATGAATAAAATAGAATGTCCGTAGATCTGGGAATGAAACATTTATTTCTTGTTAGTGTTGTTTTCTCGACATGATGTAGCGCATTTTGCACACCAATTGTACGCTCAGAAATTGCTCTCCCTCCAAGCTAGTGAGTTGCATCTTCAGTTACCCATTCATGTATTTAGATGTCGCTTGATACCAGCTGTGGCGCTGACCCAAGCTGAATACTTTTTATCTCACCATAACGTCTTGGAGTATAAAAGGAAAGAGAGACCAGAGGAAATGGACCTCGTAATGGATGTGATTGTCTTATCTTCGCAATCTACCCGCGACTAGTTACCGTGCTAATTAAGCAAACTAAGTTTGTTGTTTTTATTTTCTTGAACCCTCGTGCCATTCCAAGTTAGCTTTGAGAAGATGAAGGCACATGTTGCCATTTCAGTCTTAATATCCCAATTCAACAATTCATTACTACTTTGCAGTAGTTAGTTCCATCGAAATCTTAGAAGCATTTTGATGGTCGGTAACGTTTGAAGCTATTGTTCCTTAATAACGATATAAATATCCAAATAAAATACCAATGCAATAATCACATAACTCAGTAGACACCAGCAGTGTTGGGGATGCTAGCCCACAGGGCAGAACTATCGAGAATGAAGATCTGGACGCGTACTTGAGCTAAAATGAATCGAAATGATGGCAATTGAGCGGTAGGGTCAGTGAAATGAATAACCTCATTGAGTGGTCTACGTCCATTCTTCGGGTACAACGTCTTGCAAGAGGCTGATATACCCCTAAATAAGGAAATTGGCGCCGCCATTTAAGTTTTTTTGGGCCTATCTGTGTTTAATTACGAAATGAAGCCCTTATTTAATCAGTTTTATCAGGTGATTCTAAGAGCTCGACCAAATGACCAACATAAAGGATTTCCGTGCAAATTTGATCACTTTGCAGACCCGACATAAATTCAAAATATTTTGACCATTTTATCGATAGGCGACCATCCGCTCCAAACCCTCATTTTAGTTCCCTCAGTGTTTTTCGCTTAAACAAAAACAGATTACATGAAGCTGCTGAAATAACACGATCAAGCACCTTTTCAAACGTTAACATTACCGAACAGCTTCACAGCCTTAGTACAGTGAGCAGAAGTACTTAAAACGATTACTCTCAGTGTTTTGAAATACTACACACCATATTCATTTACATTCTTTTCAATGAAGTACTTTCAGTTCACTATGAACCTTGTGTATTTAATTTCATTTTGTGACATATTCCTGTCAGACATTGTCAGTCTGAAAATATCCGGCTACTTTTAATAATTATTAACGTTTGCCGCGAAAATATCGTTGTCTTCGCTTTCAGGCGGTCATATTAACTTATATTTCACGCTAATTCCAAAGCTTAATTGAATATTTTACATTTAGAAACATTTACCAATATAACTTTTAAGCCCTTAAGCGACATAGCACAAAAACACATTTCAGCTCTACGATTGTCACAAGTTTTTGACCAGGAGCCCCGCCTTGCATTGACCAAAGCTCGCGTACTAATGTCACGAAGCAGTCGAATTATAACGGTTTCAATGGGAAAAACTTATTGATAAGACTAATAATTCATCAAGTTTAAACAACGGATATCATGACCGTTACATGTTTTGGACAACTGATCTTAATTAGCAAAGATTCTCACTATTTTATTTCTCCGTTTTCTGCTTAGTTTTAATCTCGATTGAGAAAATCTATCAAACATTCAAGACAGTGTTTGAAAACATTTCCAAATACCTCGAAGTTCGTCAAAAATACTCTGCTACGCGTCGTATTTTCAACTCCCCTCTCGGTGTTTGTTTTGTTTTTAATTTGACAGTTTGAATGTGCTCAGATACTATCTTTCGTGTTTGATATGCTACCTATAAAATGAACGCGGAGTAGTGAATAAAAATAAACCTACCTCGCTACAGGTCGCTTCATTTCTTTGCTTCTTTTGAGGTTTCTAGACCGACTTATGGCCATGCAGTGGAACAAAAAATACCTTACATGGCCTTAAATTGGCCTCGAAATCTCACAAGAAACAAAGAATCATACACCTTGAGCGATGAAGGTTTACTTTTATTCACTTTGTTCATATTTTTAGGCCTAAGAAAAGAACCGTTATCCCCAAACAAATCCTTATATTTTGACTGTTGCGTAACACCAGCACTATTATAAGGACGCTTTGACCACGTGTGAGGTCAAGATGGCTGGATATTGGCCAAAAAAAAAAAAAGAACGAGGCCAATATCAAGCCATCTTGACCGAACAAGCTTGGTCGATAAAGGATTTATTATATGGTTTTCGGATAAATTTTTCTTGCGGGACACGGGGGGTAGTCCCGAGCGAGCAAGACAGCTTCATCTTGCCCGCTCGGGTAGCCAATCACAGCGCAGGATTTGATTCCTCTTACCCGCTAATTCACGTTAGGGAGCTAAAAGAATGAGTACATTGACGCCAGGGACGACGCCTAGCAAATTTTACTTTCGAATTGAAATACCGGGTCCACAAGGAAATACGAAAAATTAGCTCGTGGTTCATGTTCTCCAATATACGCAGAACTTGGTCATTCGGTGTTGTTGTTTTGCAGTGGACTTACAACGATTTATAATGCACGAGCATAGCCATTGTTCTGCTAATAAAGCGGTTTTCAATTGAGCGTCGAACGTAATAAAAAACAACAAGTGTCGAGCCTATCTAGCCGAGGGTAAAGACCCTTTACTAATTGAGGATACCTGAAAAAAGAAATAACAATAACAATAACAATCACAATCACAATCACAATCACAATCACAATCACAATCACAATCACAATCACAATCACAATCACAATAACAATAACAATAACAGTAACAATAACAGTAATAATACAGCTACCTAAATGTCAATTAAAACTAGAAATTCAGCTATTACAATCATATTAAATAAATTATTTGTTAAAATAAAGCTAAAAGATTAATTACTTACGATAACACTTAGCTATTTACATAATTGATAAAGACAGGCTTAAAAGTCAAGTGTTCCATAGGACACAGTTCTCACATTCGTGTTCATCTTGGACGAGAGGTTGATTTGACTGATCGGTTTTGGTTTTACTACGGTTTGAGATTGGCCTAGTAGTCTAATTGGTAAGTAATTGGTTTGGTTTTGGTTTTACAACACTCAATTGAAAGCCGCTCTAAAACCTTGGGTGACGTTCTGGTTGTCGTTGCCTTCGTGGTTTGCTTAAGCTTCCTATTGTCTAATTAGTTTCTGAGCGATACGTTACTCAGTGTTTGCGCCAGAGCGCGCAATTGCGAGAATCCCGCGTTACAATCAGAGATSGCCCCCAGAAAAACGAAAAAAGGGCCAATTTGGCCCTTTCCTTTTACAAGACTGCAGGCTTAACACAGGCACAATATTTTAAAAGCCATCCCAGGGCTGGAAATTGTGATCGATACGGTTGCCAATGCAACAAGCATTTCATCCTTGGCGACCAAAAATTCTGGTTTAGTCGCCATTGTACGGCATAATGGCGACTGCATTTCTCTGTGTTGATGATCAATAACGGTTATTTTGTCACACATTATGTCCTCCTAGAAAATCATATTGAAAGATCTTTGTTTCTAAAACATTCAACATAAGAAAAGAAGTCAACCCGTCCTTTTGCTTTACTGTATTGATTCTCTCATATCGGAAAACTTCCAAATGGCTGACCGAGTTTGAAATCGCCCTATAATGCATTGCAAACCCGTGATCATTGACTACGCCATGTAGGCCTAAGGATTGTTCTCTTGTAATGCACGGATCCTTCATACTAGTATCTGATTCAAAAGAAACTTTATTGAGTAGAAACCCTTCAAAAAGCACTTACTATTAAATTTTATCATAGATCCTAATAAACTGCTTTATTTTTCTTGATACCCTGATGCATTTTTTCCCTCTGTAGCTCAGTTTATTGGCCCCTTTCCTAAACAATTGGCCCCTAAAAAAGAACTTCAAGGGCCACTTTGGCCCTCAAGTAAAATTTTCTGGCTGAAACACTGCCGTTACACGTATCAAGTTTTCCTGAATTCCTCCGGTAGCTTGTTATTCAAAGCAGAGCAACAGTGTCCTTATCTGGAATGGGCGGAAACTGAGTTCCACGTGACCATCAGAACAAGTGACTACTTCATCGTCATCTGGGATCTCCAGAAGATTACACCTGCGAAGAAAGAGTTTCTTACAATGCAAACGCGTTCCCGAAGCCTTTGTTCCTACTGGTCAGCGACAGGGTGTGGACCACTCTATGACTTTTACACCACGTCCTTAACCCTTGCATCCCTGCCGATGACCAATAGTACCGACGATTCAGCCAACAGGATAACTTTAACCATATTCGTATTCTCGGTATTGGACTGGAACTAGCTTGCAATGGAGGCTCATGCAGGGGAATATCATTAAGAAAGAGATTAACGTCATTTACATTTGAAAAGACTCCCCCACATTAGCCTCAGTTGCAAGCTAGTTCCAGTCCAATACCGTGAATACGAATATGAACTATTACACAGCGATCAAAAGTTTTCTGTGTGAGTGTTTCTCAACATATCACCATTCAATTTGTAATATGAGCCACCCAGCATGATTAGTTTTATAAAGATATTCCAATTTTACACATTACGGTCGATCAAACAACAAAAAGGTGAAAAAGGTGAATAAACGTGTGTTGTTGTTACAATTCAGTGCAGAAGTGACGGGTCCTAACCAACTTCGGAAGCACTATAAAGAATTCATCATGACTTGCAAGAATTGGACTTGCAAGAATGAGCGCGATGAGATGGTTTAGGCCAACAATACACGTTTTAAATCTGTACTCTTAAAACCGAAAAAAATTCCTATCCCCCACCATTAACAACTTTCGTCCATATCTCGTTCCCCTTCGTTGCTTATGGTGCTGGCTTGAAAAAACGAAGGCTCTCGAGAGTTTCGCGGCAGACTGGATTTTGGCTGACTCTACAAACAATGAAAATGCGCGAAAGTGAAGCACCAGCGACTTTTTTGGGTCGCGCGTCAGCTACGCGTGCGCAATTCAACCGGAAGTGTCATACTTTCGGGCTTCCAATCAGAACTGTCAACAGAATCCAACAGAACTTTCTAGGCTCGCTCGCTTCCCAACCGCTGGTCAAGGAGAATGAAGACTGTAGGTAAAAGGGCGATTGTTTGTCGAAAATTTTCACCTTCCTCGACATTCAAGCCAACACCTTTCCAACCTACACAAATCCACTAAAAGTAAACTGACAAAACCATAAAAGAACGTAAAAAAAGAAAAAGCGAGGAACGCAAAAAAAAAAAAGAAAAAAAAAACACAAATAAAGAAAGAGCTTCCGCATTTTTTTCTAATTCAAAATCTTCGCTTCTGCGCATGTTCGAGCCCCTATATTTAAATACTTTCTCGAAATGGCAGGGGATGTTATTGCGGACGTTCAAAGCAGATTTCGCGAGAGGTCAGCGACACATGGCCAGAAATAGGTATCTCTTACATTCAAGGCTTCTTTTTTGAACACAGATGGTCTTCAGTAAACAAAAATCAATCCTTCATAATGCGGATTTAAAGTATACTTTATTACCAAACAGATGGATGCAATACATGAAAAACTTTTTATTTATTCGTACTACCAGTCAGGGAGAAAAATCTGAAAAAGGTGATTTGCATAATGATCAGTTTGTTTGTTTGTGTTTGTTAATTAATTTTATTTTATTTTTTTTTATTGTGACTTTATGTATTATTTATTGCAATGCCCGCCTCGACTGGCCTACGCTATACGCGGGTAGTGTAAATTGTAATTTGATTTTATTGTAATTTTTTATTTCATTGCCTCAACTCCGAAACCACATGAATTCACTAGTTGAACAGGATATACAACTAGTGTACAAACCAGTGTACAAACACTTGTACAAATGTGGCAACATGATGAATAATGAATAAGGTCGAAATGTGTAAATGGAGTCGATTTGTCAATTGCAAAATTGCCTCTTTTTGCAAGTCGGTGAAATTATTGACGTATTTTTCAAACCGCCAAAAACAGAGTAATGTCAGTCGTGAAACGACCTGAAAATCGCAAATCAACAAAAAATATCGCGCTTTGAATAAGACTCTGCAGCTAAATAAAACTTAACTTCGCGATAGCGTTCTGTGAGAAATCGATGCATTTTTTCCATTTGTAGAATACAAATACAAAATGTTTCGTGCTTGAAGCAATAAATGTTTCTTACAGCGAAAAATACTATACGTAAAAACAGAAAGACTTGAATTTAAAGTAAACCATACCCTTTACTTCGATCATTCTTTCTGAACGCTCTTTGCGGTCTTTTAATAAGATTAAACTCTTTTTCCTAGCGTGGGTTTGGATCAGTGAGTTACAATGACAAGAAACGGATCCAGAATTTGACTGGCAGTTGTCAGTTATTATGATTAATACCGTCGAACCCGTATATAACGGCCCTGTATTAAGCGGCCACCCTCTATTGAGCAGTCAGTTTTCAAAGTCCCGATTTTTCGCTCATACAAACGCTGTATTTGTTGCCTGTATTAGGTGGCCACCTCTGCTAAACGGCCGCGGCCACCCTGTAGCAGTCCAATGTTTGCCCTTCTTTGATATTTTTGCCTGTATTAAGCGGCCACCCTGAACGTAACACTCTTTCAAGCGATCAATACTTTAAACAAGGTTAAGTGCCAACTTGGACCTCATTGGTATAATATGCGTAACACAGTGTAAAAGTACTGTGCAATAAACTGTCCTCTACTCCTCTACGGCCGGTATATGCCGTGTTTTGACGAGAGAGGTTTACTACGGTTACTGCTTACCGAGGTTTCGTAACTAAACTGTACTTATTAGAGAAGCTGTTTACACGAAACGAATTAACTAAAGTGGGCCGCATACAACGGACGGTTTGACGTTTTTTCGGAAAGCAAGTGCTGCAATGTTGCTCAGAAACTATTGGAAAATTATAAAATTGGACTTTACTCCAATGCCTAGCGCAGGTCGTTCATTGTCAATTTGCTTGTGGTGATGTCGAGCCAAACTCTCCTTAAATGTAAAGCTTTGTACATGAATAGTGGGAAAAAAAATTGATATCTCGCTGATCTTCTTCCCGCAAAAAACCTGAAACGGCATCTGCCACGGAGCCCGGGCTATGTATAGTAAATGTTTACCGGTATTTCTTCTCATTCGGGGCCGCTTTAAATTCTAACATTTGGTTTTCCTCTCCATAGACCTCGATTACGATTTTTTTTCCTCTCTATTTGTGGTAGGCGGGTCTTCGTCTAGTTGCGACTGCCTGTATACTGCTACTAAGCTATTGAGCTTCTAACAGAAAGGAAACGCTTACGGCTTTTGACGATGAACGGGAAACAGCAGTCCGGGATTTCTTTGCCTAAACATGAGTTTATTTAACTTTTCTGCCCGTTGATTGAAACCTACTTACATTAGGGGGAATCTTTGTCTATTTTTCTCTTCTTTACGCGCTTCACGCGTGAGCACTTGCTGCGAAGATATCGCGACAACGTCTGCTTTTCCGCGGTTACCGTCGGTTACTGAGCTAAACCATGCCTGATGAAGCGTTCAACTGTCGACAAACCTAGGTTGGCGTACTTTTGATTTTGCCGCCACTTACCGAGGTTTGCTACTGTGTTTACACGATTAAAAATTTCACTTCAGTAAAGTTAAAACAAAACCAAGGTAAACATCTCTCGTGAAAACACGGGGATACAGTACTGCATTCCTATGACTTACAGTTCACAACAAAATATCTTATTCCTTCATTACATAGTTGTTGCATGCCGAAGTCTTTTTAAAATTGACATTAGACCACGCCCAGTGAGTATTTTCAGTGATCCTGTATTAAGCGGCCAGTTCCTCAAGTCCCGAGGGTGGCCGTTATATACAGGTTCGACCGTATACGCGAACAACACCTTGTGCTCTTTGAACATTGTGCTTTTTAGCGCCGCCCACCAAAACGGACCATTATGCTCCCAATTATGCCCGACTTCAGTTATTATCCTCGTAATGATACCGCCAAAAATTTCGCCACCCTCCTATGCCGTGAAGGATAAACACCATTTTAAGATAGGCCCTAGGAGCCTGGCATAGGAAACTGCCTGCGGATGTATTGGGAACTGACAAGTCAAATGTGTTTCTCCTGTCGGGCTTAACTACGCATTAAAGATTTTCTTCACGGAAGTTCAAATGGAAAATGTAAGCTCATAAACTGTTGTTGTTAGGCATTAGTTGTCGAACTATTTTTAATCATAATTATTTTCAGACGTTTCAGCTTTTTTCATTCAGACTTGCACAGTTAATTTACATATTGCGAAATACTTGACGTGTTATTGAAAATGTCATTAAAATCTGTTGGTTTCTTGGGTAATTCATTTTAGCCTTATATATTGCTAATGAACGATAATTAAATGACTTTTTTTCGGAAATTTCCTCTATCCTTTCGCTTATGCAGTATCATTTGCGATCCTCGCTTCGCCAAAAGGTGAAAAATAAAATATTTTCTCAAAAAGTCATTGTATTCCCTTATTCATGTACTCCTCGACTTCCAATCCGTATTGCATTTATCTACAGACTAAATTCGGAGAAATTCAGTGAGGGACTAGAGCACTTTCTTGAACAAACTTGATCGAAAAACAGTGTTCTAAACTGTAGTCGCTTCGTGTCGTGATTCTTGAAGAGTAATCTGTTGTTGGCTGTAAAGACTCTGCTCTGGTTTGCGACATTCAGTCACACTGGCCACAAACGCTTTTCGAAAATCGCCGCTCATAGAGAACAAAATCACTGGGTTAACAATATGCTTGCAATAGTACAAGACTAACGAAATCAAATCCGCGTAGGCAACAACTTGACTCTTAATAACATCAACAGGTTGAAACTCCAAGGTTATCATTAAAACGCCGCGAGGTATATAACACACTTGAAACACGACTAGACTCGTTATTAACATGCGTATAAGCCGTTTTCTTCTTGTTTCTTGCATTTCCCGCTCGTTCTTGCCTCTTGAAACGATGCGCGCCGATTGGCCGAAGTCTGTTTTCTTGCTTACAACGGTGACGATTTTAATGTAGCACCATGTCTGAATGACCAACGGGACAACTATAAACACAACAACGAGATACACAATGTAACAATGACGGAAGAGCAACGACGGCCAGTGAATAGAACAGTATTTCCATCCCATGATTTCGGTTAATTTCAGCAAAAACGACTGCGGAATACCGCTAGCGCAGTAACAGCCGAGCCATAAACTAACCATGATGATTTTGGTTTTGTGCAAGGACATCTTCGGCTTAAACGGTCTGACGATAGCTCTGTATCTCTCCAGGCCAATGGTGGTATGAGTCAGAACTGACACGCAAACGAAGACATCTTGTATAGGCCATAAAAAATGGCACATGAAGTCGCCGAACGGCCAGGACGCAAAGATTTCAAGGATACGCAATGGGGCCGCTATTACACCGACGCCAATGTCTGAGAACGCAATATTCATGATGAAGTAGTTACACGGCGTTTTCATGCTTTTTCGGCGAAGGATAGTAAAGATGACCAAGCTGTTACCGGCCAAGCTTGCGACAAGTATTGCGCCAAACAGAACGGTGGTAACCAGAATGTAGGTCTCACCGAATGGGTGTCCGTTTCCCCGCAGCTCCGAGAAACAAGTCTGATTTGAAATATTGCCAGAGCTCGAAGAATTTAGAAACGATGTACCCGATTCACAAGTCCCAGAAAAGGTTCTTTCGCTCGCTGTTTCATTCATGTCCTAAATGTCGGTCTGCTGTCAAAAGAAGCCGACGAACTTCTAGGCCACACTGTTATGTACCGTGAAAACAACAGGCCCAATCAAGCACGTTCATAAGCGAATAATTATTGACACACGAAAATCGCAAATTGTTGTATAGGCGCTCTAAAGAGACCGTGCAAAGGCGTAACATCGGAAACGAACTTGAGGAAATATATTATTTAACGGCTTGCAGAAGTCCTCCTTAAAAAAAACAAATTAAAAATTATGTTTGGGACACGGTTTGGCAAGACTTGTAATTAAAAGCATTGTGCGAAAACTGTGGGGAATACAGGTGCTTACAAACGCATTCATTTGCCACTTCTTGTCTTTCAAAAAAACCAAGGTTACGGAAATATAAAAATAACAAAAAAAAACAGCAAGATACCCGCAATTAGAGGAAAACAAACCCTTAATGTGCGTTTTCAGTTTTTGAAATGTTATCTCAAAAATTAATAAAGAAATAAGTCAAAAATGAGCGATATCACATAGACATCTTGATCATAGTGTTTTGATATTACCTACCCATGTTTGAATTTTGTGGTTGGAATCCACACGAATTGTCAAAAATATTTCTATAGTGATACACGAAAAGATTCAGTTAAGTTTTGTAAGTTGATATAGCGTGCTATTCTACGACAGGTGACTCTAAGCTTGAGGTAAAATTCAGGAGATTGCATTCGTAAATATTGCAATGCTTGATACACTAAGTAACACGGAGAAAAATTTCTGACTCCTTAATCAAACCACTTTAAGTAATAATTGATTCCCGAAATTCGTGTCGTACGCATGGTAAGCTAAGAAAAGTTCGTTCACGTTAAAAGATATATAAAAGCTGTAACGCTTTGCCAAATTGTAGCCCTATTTAGAGAATAAAGTTATATTTTATGACAATTAGTTACAAATGTCGTTATAGTTTTGCAAAACAGTTTTTTAATTCGATTCGCTTTGTTGTCCTGAACAGAATTAATAAATCATTCGTTTTTACACTCTCTGTGCTTAACGTCCTAGAATTTAAACATAATCTCAATACAAAGTACTTTATGATCGTCATGCGCTAGTGTAATTAGAAATATATATCATTACTGTAATCTGAAGGAAACATACCGAAATTAGCAATCAACACATTTTCTTGCCGGCATAAATGTGGCTCCTCTTAATTGATTATTGTAATAAAGCCGTTCATTCTACCTTTTAACAGGTCGTAACACGACCAGGTTATCTAATTAAATATAAATAAACATCCGTGTTTCTACTTTAGAAATAAATCCTTAAAGATTGGCTTACACCGAGGTGGCGTTAGTTCAAACGAGGCCTTCATTTGAGATGTAATGACTATTAATTTGAATTGAATTCAGACACGGAACTTTCTTGTACAGAAAGTGTAGAGAAACAAAAGCCCCTTGTTCGATCGAATTTACATCTAACACGATATGTTTTTCGTTCATAACTTTTCACCAGGTTTAAGGAAGGATGATTTTTTTTTATAAGATTTGGAATATCTAGTGCAAACTCACGTGGATGAAATAAAATAAAACATTTAGCTTTACACTGAGAAGATAGCAAGTTGCTGTGTGTAAGAAACTTTTAAAAATAAAGTACGGGTTTTTCATGTATTTCAATCTTTGCTCCTTCTGAACCCTCCTTTTTTTGCCTTAATTGCAGTTTATCACCCCTTTCGAGGTCCCAGAATAATTTTTTCACGGCGAAAAATTACAACAAAGTGTGATTAAGGTTAGTCGGAGACAGCTGGATCGCGAGATAAATCAATGTGGCTATCGCTTTGAATTCTTCGCTTAACACTTACTTTCTTACTCTCTTGATCGGGAGACTTGTCGAGAGCCTGGCACGGGCGTGACCTCCATATGCCTCATAAAGTCGGACCACCGCTGCCGATGGTATGGTCTCCGCCTGTAGGCGCAAGAAACTATTGATTTTCTTTATTCACTTATTAAAAAAAAAAAAATCTGTGAAAAAAATGTCAATTTTTAGTGGTCTCCAGCAAATTAAGACTTATTCAACTGACTTTTATATTCTCTTTGTGTGGTTCGCCTATTGCTTCACAGATCACTTATTACAGGGACCATTTCGCGGCTCAGCGCATGTGCAAGCCATAACATCAACCATTCTAGTCCATTCCCTTTAACTAATCTGAACGCAGATCCTATATGTTGTCTCGAGTCCGCCGAGATCGCAAGCTCAGGGTGTAGGGGTGGGGCTGGGGAATCGCGGGCTCAAAGGAAATAACTCGTAGCAAAAAAATAAACGTCTGCAGATAGACCAATAAAATAACATGGCGCCAGCTTATGATGAATCTTGCGGGGAAATTTTCCTGTGAAAATTTCTTGGTTGGTCGCAAGAACGTGACGATCGAGGTGATATTTCTCATTAGAATTCCGTTTGTATGTTCCGAGTTCAATGCACCAATTAAATCCTTTGTAAATTAACCAGTGAGATGCGATTGTGCGATTGTCCAGAATAAATCCTCCCGGCCGAATAATAAATACCATGATACTAAACTAGACATTTTCTGTGTGAATCTGTTGACATCTTCAATGAGATTCAGGCGTCAGCTATTCTGCGTGAATAAATTGTGGCCTGTGATTGCAAAACTACCACTATGACAACATGTGGCTCATGCAAGAAAAGGAAAATTACTCACAACATACCTTGCACATGCGCCGAACAGTGAAACTATCACTCACAAGTGACGAAGTTTGTTCGAGTTATTTCTCAGACTCATTAATAATTCATCAAGTTTAGTCAATGGAAACCTTAAACATGATGGTGTTTGAATATCCGATATTAATTAGCTTAGATTCTTGCGATCTCCAAAATGGCATCTGCAAAATCTAACCTGCAAATGGTACGAAAATTTCCTGGAAAAATCCAACAATTAATGAATTCAAGGAACGCAAACTATTCAAGTGAAAATTCCAGAAATTCCGGAAATAAAATTAAACGGAGGGCAAATCCCCTGTAAAACATTTTCGAAAATTTGGGCATACCTTGAAAGGTTGTCCTCTTTATCGAAAATTTCGTAAAATGCTCCGAATGCTTCCATTCGCCGCTGGAAATGTCCGGAAAATCAAAGCGTTGACGATTTTCTTTCTTCTCATCAACTGTCTGCTTGATAATGTAATGACCTTTCAAGGAGAAATTATAAGTTGATTACTTTTTGTACGCACCTTTTTAACTGTTTCCAGTATGACCGCTGGGTTATCCACGCTGAAGAAGGACCTTCCTTTAAAACCTGCAAAAACACCAAAAACTAAAACTTAAAGTAGTGTGGACAGAGAAAACCTGATTATATCGTCTTCCCACCTTTGAGAAATTTATTTTATAGCTTATTTCGATTGCGAGCCTTCAAAATTCGGCATTTGGAACCAGGACCATCAAACGCGATGCTATTTTTGTTTTGTCGCGTTTGTTTCTGACTGGTCGGACTCGTCAAAACTTGCTGAGAAACCAGAAGAAATCTGGGGCGAGCCTCTCACCTCGAAGTGCCTTTTGGGACCGTTATGGGGGGAGTAACGATCCAACAAGGGACTGGAGAATGATACTCGCCCCAGATTTCTCCTCGTTTCTATAGAAGTGAATGTTTTTGCGCGGTTCACTTCGATGGCAAGAGACAGCGTGTCGTGCACAAAGCAATAAAAAGAAAAAATAAACAACTTTTATAACAGAGCAGTAAGCTTTCACCTACCTTCATTAACAGAGCCTGGTACAACGCAAATTGGCTGGTTAAAGTTGTAGGCATGTTGAATGACCCCAGCACTTTGGAAAGTACCTTGAAAATGCAACATTATATCAAACCATTAATAAAGCTATTTCCGGCGAGAAAACAGGATGCTCTCGGGGGCTAACCAGAGACGCTGCACAAGTTATATTAATGAATAAGCTATTCACGAGTTTAAAAACAGCAATAACAATCTCAATAACGATAACTAGGAAAATCAGATTTTCACGGAAGGCATCATACCTGAGTGTGGATAAACTGCGTAAGAGAATTCGTGTGATCCCATATCAGCTTCCTCATCCGGGGATTTGGGCGAACGGAGCCTGCCAAATAGACACAGTAACAGTCATTTTTCTGCAAACTTTGCAGTAAATGGTCTCTGTACTCATTAGAAAGCTGACGAGCTGTAGGAAGGAATTAAGGTGTGGCGAGGCAGAGAAAAAGACATTGGCTTTCACGCAGGGAAATAAAAGTGACGTTATTGTGTTCGACGTACTGTAGAGAGGTTTCTTGAGAACGCAAGTGATACCATCCAAAACATTTTTGCTTTCGAAATTAGTGATTGGCGAAAATTTAGCTCTTTGCATGTAATATTAAAAAAGATATTCGCTTTCAAAAACTGCAAAATTTCTCGATGGGAGAAATTCTGACGAGCCCGGACATAGACTTTTTCCCGGCACACGTTTCTAACAACCCTGGCCATACCCAATGTTCAGAGTAGATATTTGTAACTAATTTTCAACATATCAGTGGGCCATCTCTATGGCTTACAAGAAAGTCAGTAGACCATGGAAATAAACGTTGCCGATTTGTAAAAAGATAACTACAGCGTAGTATGGGATGTGATAGGATTACGTGTTGCGCTCGATAGACACAAGTCACTTACAGTGAGATGTACATGACGTTGGCGTGAGTGGAGTAGCCATACTTGCAGTCAGTCATTAATGCTACGCCCCAGTCGTGCTCGGACAAATCAGCCCACTTGTGACCACAAACCTGTTCAGTGCAAATTCATGGAAACCAGCATGAGTGAGCATCGCGTATAAGTCGTCTCGAACTAAAAGAACAACATGGTTTAATTTGACTTGGATTTAAGAAACAGAGATTTTTTGTTGAGTTCGGGACGAATAGAAATGGTGTGGGAACACTAGCTGCAAACGAATCTTTCCACAGCTTTTTCGAGTTCTCCCAAATAAACACGAGATTTTCATTTATTCCACAGGAAAACGAAGAAAACAATTTCGTTTTCTTTTAAGAAATACGGAGAGGAGAAGGAAGACTTTTCACTAGATCAGCTCGATTACAACATTCAAAGACACATGACACGACACAGAACAAACACATGAAAGCAGGACGTTGCACACAGGCACGACACAGACAGACAGACACCCAGCCAGCCAGACAGACAGACACCCAGCCAGCCAGACAGACGGCACCCAGCCAGACAGACAGACACCCAGACAGACACAGACAGACAGACACCCAGCCAGACAGACAGACAGTCACCCAGCCAGCCAGCTAGACAGACACCCAGCCAGACAGACAGACAGAGCCTACCTCATACTTTGCCCAGTCCCAGCTAGTGTTGCAGTGTGTGGGCCGTTGTAAGTGACCAAACTGAATCTCGTATGTTGCGTTCATTGAACGAACATCGAATGGAAATTCTACCTTTAGGAACTTCCGGTTCTCGTGCCAGTCAACCTGTGATAAACAGCGTTTGCTATCAGTAGTTATACCGATGATGTGCAAAGCAGCGAGGAAAAGCAGCGAGACTATGTTTGCGAAACAAAACACTTGCGCGCGAAAACAAATCAAATCAGTTAATCTATAAACTAATTAGAAACCTAATGGTGTACTTTAAAGTTCTACTGAAACGAAATTTTCTATCTTTTTTATTCGCCTTATCTAAAGTTTCAAACGTGCTTATAACCATGGTGAACTTTATTTTGAACTTTTTCAAAACGCTATTAAAATCTATCGATAACGAACCCCACGTTAGCATTACTCAACGCATGTTCACTCTAAAATAATTGGTCACGGGAGTAATAGACTGCAAAACAGTCGTAGTTTTTGCGAACGCGGGCGACGGTCAATATTCGAACGAAAGGTCTGGAGCGAGTGTAAAAACGGCGAGGGAGAATGGGGAGAGACGCTTGCCTCAAACGCCCGAGGCTCGCGCGCTCCACACGCGAGGATCGCGCTTACGGCGCTTCGCGCCTTCCGAAAACGTCCGAAAACAACTGTTCTGCAGTTTACAGAAGTAAAAAAATAACCCTCGCGAAAACGTTACACTTTATTTATCTAAGAATCCATGAAAACAACTTATACAGTCCTGTTTTAAAGTCTTTACTTAGTAGGCCCCCTGTAGGGACAGCCAGCTAGTGGTGTTGACTTGAAAATAAAGTTGCTGATTCATTCTTTTATTCTTTACAGACTTTGATTGGGCAAATATTTACACACAGTAACTTGCCTTCGTGTAAAATTTAACATACGGGGCACCAGCATCCAAAGATACGATTTGGCTAAGAGAACTTTCCTCGCTGATCCTCAAAGAAAACTGCAGAAGAAAAACGTGACAATCGCATGACCACATGAATGCTTCAAAGCCTGGACACATGGTGGAAAGTACACAATGTCAAGAAAGTAAAGACGGTGCCTCCTTTTGTCATGGCGGACACGTCCTGCGCGGCATCACTAACTAGTCCCTCGGAAAACTCGGTTTTTACAAAGAGTGCTTGTGAAAGCCAATTCAACGTTGCCTTAAGATTTACAGAAATTACATTACTTAAAGCACGCGGCCTACGACAAAACCGTAAGACAAAGCTCAGTGATGCGTTCATTATAAGGCAAGACAAGCGTGATGCGCAGAACGTGTGCGCAGTAATTAAAGGAGTCACTTACAAGACAAATTCATGGAATGTGATTCTACTGCATACAACATTGAGTGCAATGACGAGGCACAATTTAAGTCGGAATCCACCAGAACTTCGAGTAACGAGTAGACAAAAACCTAGTACCAAGATTATTTACATCGTATTGCAAACTTCTGTACGACTGTTTTAAATATCCTCTCAAAAAAAAATCATTTCTAACAACACCAAACGTCGAAAACGAATATTGAACTTCACTTGAAAGTACTGGTGAAATGAAACTGATGGTGAAATTTTGCCTGTGTTTGCACAAGTTCTCTGAACTTTGAAATTCATTTTCTCTCGTTCCCATGGGAAATTGTTTTCGGTGTTATTTCAGGCAATTATTTACCGGTATGTATTTACCTTTGACTGACTGTAAAATACTTAAAATTATTTTGGTACCAGATTTTTGTCCACTAAAACCTTAAATTACTCGATTTTCTATCGGATTTCGTCTTAAGTCGTTCCGATTCTTCTGCCTACTTTGAATTTTCTGTCGTGTGAAAGTTGACGAGGGTGCAGTATAGGACTACTAGCCGTTTCGCCATTTCGCCATTTGGTTAACGACCGCGTGTTGCTACCCTACAAAATACCTACGCGCGTAGCCATTAAGAGAACGGTATTCGTGATAGACCGCTAGTATAGATTTATACTAAAACCGTGATATTTACCTCAACTGAGACTCTTAACGGACCTTCGTGTAAGATCTTGAATTCTCCAGATGAGGTTGGAAGCAACAGTTTTCTGTTTGAATTGGAATAAGAGGTCTGTCATCAGGAGAATAAATCACTTACGTTGAAATATTTTAGAAACCTTCAACGTCCAAATACATTTTATTTTTGTTCTATCTTGTTGGGTTAACTTAATATAGACAGAACGGGTGAAAAGTTAAACACCAGGGCCCTGGTTGTTCGAAGGTTGGATAATGCTTTCCACCGAGTTAATCGCTATCCAGTGTGGATAAGTGTTAACATAACAAGCCACGCTATCCACTGGATAGTGATTTGGATGGCATTATGCACCCTTTGACCAACTGGGCTATGAAGTTTTGATTCGAGTTTTGATGAGAGTTTGTGTATTTGAAGAATTTGTAGGATTTATATGAGAAAAGTTGTTGAGTGGCAAANCGGGGGGGGGGGGGTTAAGAGAGGGGAGGATGGAAAGGGACACTTAAATAATACGGTCCTTTACTGACACAAACCTTGTTTCCAGGTAATAAGGCATTACATCCCAAGCATCCCAGAACAATGGAATGTCGTCAAACAAGATGAACTGGTTTCCAGAATAACCAGGACTGATCGCTTCCCTGAAATAAAATTATAATCATTATAATGAAATATAATAATAATAATAATAAAATAATAATAATAACAATACGAATAAAATAAAACTGCGGTGAATGTTTTGTTAAACTAAGTCATGTTCTGTTCATTTGGTCCAATAGTTTTGTCGTTGTACGCTTTTTTGTTGCAGTTTATACCGTTTGAAGACAAAGGACTAAAGAGAAACACGGCCATAAACCCAAAGTAATTTAGCCCTTGCGCAGATGGCAAAGTTCTTTCTGGTGGGTTACAGTGATTTACTAACTTTTGTCAACGCTCGCAAAACGTCTCAGATCTTCTTACAAGGATTTTATTTTTCAAAAGATGAAGTATATCTGACACCACATTATTCTTACTATAGTTTGTTCGTGCAAATCGTTTATCAGTAATTTAAACGCAAGAGAGCCTGACAAAGGTCAAGCTTACTGGCAATTGCGAGAGGTAGCTATTGTTGTAAAGACAATACTGAACACCTGACAAAAAGTAACCTGATGTTTTGGGCGTGTAACTAAAGAACTGCTTTTCATGACAAATTTATTCAAATAGAGGTTGAATAAACATTACCGAAAAGTCAGTTGAAGTTAGAAAGCTAAAATTTAGTATACGCCTCCTTTTTTCCCTTTTTCCCCTAAACGTTTTCTGTTACGAATAACTGCTACTTTAAAAGGTATTTGTTGTCGTAACGAAATCAGCATGCATAGTTGGCGTTGTTTCATTTGAGTCTATGTAAAGCTCAGGTCGGCAAGGAGCAATCGAACCAGCCAACAGGTTGTTGGCCCAGAAATTAAACAGATCTACGTCAACCAATTTAAGTGCAATGAGTGATTCTTGGTTACTTCGTGAATCTAAGCGAGTACAAATTGAATAGCTCTTAATTACTCCGAGTATTTTAAGGCGCAGTATTCGAGTATTTCGCCGAACTAACTTTACTCAGAGCGATTTCAAATTGAGTATACATGTAGCTCTCAAATAATCAGAGTATTGTAACGAAGAATATTTGAGTATATCGAATAACTTTTAATTACTCGGAGCGATTTGAAATTTGTCTCGCGCATTGTTGGAACATAAGCCTCTATATTGAAAGGTTACTCGATAAGATTTGATATTTATTCACTTGAAAATGTTTGTTTGGTATTTCCTTTTCAAGCCGGCGCTGCTGGTCTCAGGAACTCATTTAACTGGTTTTAACATGACGTCAATGCTTTCCCATTGGTTGTCAACCCTTCCTTTGTTCTTTTGCTATATAAGCGCGACACCATCCGGATGGTTGGGCGGCACATTTACTCCTCTACAATGTAAACTTTTCTCTTATCCAAAGGACATGCATCTCATACATAAATTCAACACAATTCAACACACCACAACATAATACAATGCAATTCAACACAATACAATACAACGCAACAGAACAGAACAGAATATAACACAACACAATTCAACACACCACAACATAATACAATGCAATTCAACACAATACAATACAACGCAACAGAACAGAACAGAATATAACACAACACAAAATAACAGAACACAACGCAACGTGTTATGCCTTTAAAATAACTGTTCATTAAATCAACCACGCCGACTACAATACCTCCCACTGGCCTTGTGCACAAGACTTCTCACTAAGCCTCCTCGAACTAATTCAGCCCGGACCAAGGCATTCTCCAACACAACAGAACCCTGTGACTTGAGCAGAATTAAAGCAAAACATTTCTATTAGTATTTCTAGGTAAGATAATTTTGTAATTTCACCAGCCATTTCAACTCAACACTATTTGCTGCTAAAATTTGAATTTTCGGACGACAAGAATGTTGTTTCAAGGGAAGTAAAGAAGACGTACATTTCTCACCTGGTCAAATGATACAGACACGGGGTGGATTTCACTTGGACTTTCCACTAGATTGCTAATACTCATGCTCGGAACTGAAACCAGTACTGAAACAAAAAGATAGATTAGTATCATACCCTTACTGCATTAACTCATGACTTCATCGCATAAGAGGTCAAGATTAAGATGAAGCTGGCCGGCCTTCAAGCATAGTGTACCCTGGGAACAGTTGGCTTCTCCTACCTTTCTACCTCGTTCGGCGTATGAGAAACCAACTGCTCGCAAGTCTGAACTAGTACAAAAAGAATGATTTCAAAAATCGCCAGCAGGCTGTACTTAGCGTTGGGAACATTAATGTTTAGAACATTCCAATACCTATTATAATGTTTAAAATATTTCAATACCTTCTGAATAAATCTTACCGAACGTTTTTCCTTCCTTTGAGCTTTTTTGTTTACTCGCTGAAGACTTTTCCTCTGTGGATAAGCTTTCCCTCAGTTTATCAGGAATAGCGACTACTTCACTTCTTGGCCAACAAAGCGTGTTTATAAGGACAGGTTTGGTCACGTGGTCCTCCTCGCCAACGTTGAGCTGAAAATTCAAGAGTTCAAGTTTATCAGGGCCTCTGTTGATATCAGGTGCTACTGATGAAAGATCCACCCTGATATAAATTAAATAAAGGTGTCCACCTATCTGTCTGGTGCACGCTGGACAAAATTGGGTAACAAAACATTAAGTTTGATTATGCTTTACAATGGCGTTCATGTAAATAATATGAAAGCGTGCTATTTCTATTTATAATCCATCAAATATTTTCGCTCACACGATTGGTCTGAACTCGTCACGTGACTGAATATACCCCAGCTAAAACTGGGGAATATCCCAGAGATATTCCCCAGTTTTGAAAAGATCCAACGTGTTGCGAAAAATATTGGAAGAATAATAAACACCGTATAGCCTCCATTTGGCGCGAAAGTATTCTCGGATATTTTCCCTTGGACATTATCTGTTCCTTGAAGCTCACGGTTTTCCTTCAGCTTCGCTCTCGGAAAACTGTTCGCCTCTCGGAACAGATAATGTCCGCGGACAAATTTTCGCGCCAAATGTAGGCTATTTAATTTTTTGATTGCCATCATTTTTATTTCAGGACCTCCCTGAAAACCACATTAGTGAGTGGAGCCTCCTGTATAAAGATTATTAATTAATTAATTAATTAATTAATTAATTAATCATTGTTCACATATCTACTATTTCACACCTGCGATATAACCCTGGAGCAAGTGTCGTTGAATATTCGTCTGGTACTTTCAAGAATCTCTGTAAATTTTAAGATAAAATCATCTAAATTAGGAAAAAGCTGACCTTTTCTATGAACAGAAGTTCATAATGTCAGATCTAGCATTTAATACTTCTGCTATGAGGTTTAAACTGCACCAACTTGTCGTTGCAATTACAATCGTTTAAGTTACGCTTCCATGTCCTTGGAAATTCGAGCTACATGTTTGATATCAAATTGCCAGCAGTACAGATTTACCTTTGTAACTTTGCAAAGCATCGTCGGCAGCCTGTTATAATAAAGAAAGATTCATCATAAATAATATGATGGATTTTAAGCCTGGTTAATATACGAGAAGATGGTTTATATGTCTGTGATACAGGCAAGCTCGGAAAGACAAGACAAAGAATTCGAGTTCTTCAGCTAGGAGTCAAAATTCTTTTACCAAGTGTCCTAAACCTGTTTTATAAAGAGAGATTGTGAGTCTAACTTGTAAAGAAACTGTTGTGTTGAGCCCAGGCAGTTAAAACTCGCTAACGCAGCATCCACACTACGCCGGAGAAATTTAAAAACGCAGCTTTATTTCTACGGCTAGGCCTGCCGTCCACTCTAATTCGTCACGAAAACAAAGCTTTTCGAAAATGCTCTTCAAACCGGCTTTTCGAAAACGATGACGTCACGATAATCACGTGATTTGCCTGACAGAGTTTTCCTCAAACACAAATCCAAAATGACCAGTGAAATATCTGTTTTCAAATTCCTCCAGCGTAGTGTGGATAAGGCCTAACAGTTGACCAAAGAAATATAATTCTACCTGTTTAATACAGCTTCCTGGTAAAATATCATGAAATTGATTCAAAAGCATAAGTTTCCAGATCCTTAGAAATTCGTCCGCTGGATAAAATGCTGGAAAAGTAATAAAATGAAATATTCAACCAACATCAAAGATCTAACCCAACAACATACACCCTTTAAACAAGAATCGGCAGCCTCGGACTGAGCTACAGAGTTGCATGCCCTAGGTCTCAGAGCGTCCCCCCCCCGCCCCCCCCACCCCTTTAAATTGGTAATGCCGTAGATTCGTGAAACTGTAGAAGAAAAAACCTTTTAGGGAACTGAGCAAGTGAAAGAAGTAAAGGGTTGAGCTAAAATACCCGCAATAGCTGGCAACGGTTTCACAGTTCAGTGGCAGACAGTTTTAGCCACAGTGGCCAAGGTGATAGTTCCGAATCCCGTTGAAGACTGTTGTTTTAGAGGCTTCTTTTAGTTTCAAATTTATTCAATTTATAAACATGTAAAGCTAAACATTAAACCTGTATTGCTGTCTCCTAATACAAAAGCCAGAGTCGACATGAACTCAGCGTCATGCAGAAGAAATTCACTTTGGCGGTTCCCTTGCTTTATCTGTTAAAATAAATTTAAAACAATTCATGCCTCGACGCACTCCTACGCTTATTTTCAAAGTCGTAAAAATAATATGAGCGGGTTACCTACTCTCATCTGGAATACACAAAAAACTACATCAGTGTAACAATGAAGGAACTTCGTGGTGTTTCATCAAATCACAAAAAAGACCCTGGAAAGACGTCATACTTCGAAATCTTCAGGAATTAGTTTTTTTCTTTAAAAAGAAAACAGAGCAGCAAATTTCGCTCTCTGTTTCTAATCTCCATCTCGTATTTTGTCGTCTCCACAGGGAGCGAACTTAGCTCATAGCTAATTCTGTTGGACTTTCCGTCATTTCTCGCGTTCACAGCCCGCGATTCTTTCGGTTAGTATCGAGGACCCCTCCGAGTTTCTTAGCGCTGAACCAAAGAATCGTAGCCTCTGAAAACTACTGCGTTAGAAAATACAATTAGAATTAATAAGTACAGACAACGTTTGGATGGAATTGTGTTTGTTTTATTTGTTTGTTTGTTTACCTGCGCCTGTGTGGTATATGTTCCCTGATGCAGCTCCAAATACAGCTCACCAACCCACGTGCATAGCTTGTCACCATCACGTGACTCAAGGGAACGGAAAAACTCTTGAGGGTTTGACAGTTTTACCCTGAGCCAATCAGAAACAAAAATCCCATTACGCACTTTGAACTAAGCTTCTATCTTCTGCAGCTAACATGAAGAAGACATAATAACTATCATCTAACTGAAATCACAGCTCGAGGAAAAAACATGACGTCAGTGCAGAGCGCAGGAAAAAGCGAGCAAACCAAGGTGTAATTAATTGTTCTGGTTCGCTAGTTAATGAAACAAATATTCTGTTTTTTTTAACTGGTTTGTTTGCTGTTTTTGACCAATTACCTAAGCTAAACAAATGCTTTCGTTCGCTAGCCTGGTCAAAACTACTGCCTTCAACATATGTTGAAATAAACAGTCCGTCCCTTACCTCGGACAGCCATCTACATCTTCCATTCGCTTCAACATTTCAAGCATATCTTCTCTGTAATGACACAAACGTAAACTAGAGTTACGCAACACCAGAAACACGAGAGACAGGGGCTATTTCTTTATAAGGACTTACGAGGGCCCCCCTCCACCGTCTCCGTGACCGTACAACAGCATACTAGCATAGGCCCGTCCTTTATCTTTTAATTGTTTGACTGTCTTTATTACCTATCGACAAAAATAAGAGAAACATATCACTGAGCGTCCACTGGGCTAAAAAAAGGTTGAGATCAGTTCAGATCAGTGCCCCTTCAGTCTTCCCTTTCATGCACGCTCGTTCAATCTCTGTTTCACTCTCGAAGGTAAATTGTGTGAAAGTGTTTCAAAGTAAATACAACTTACGTCAGCAGCATTTGCGCGAGATTCGTACGTGTCAGCGGGAGGAAAGTGTGCGAGACACCTGGGAAGAGAAGAGACTGCGATCATTCGAGAACAATGCTAAGTTAATCCACTTCTTCATGTTTGGAATCAATAAGAAATCAACCCAAGTATCAACCAGCAAATTCTCCTCACTGCTTAACATATAATAAATTTTGATTTAATCGACTTCCTCGTGTTTAAGATCAATAAGAAAATAAACCCTTTAAGCCAGATATTAACGGGCAAATTCTCTAAGCTGGTCACCATATAATTCTTCATCTTGCAATTATGTTCCAAAATCTTTCGTTTAAGAAATAGAAAATGGCGTACATGTTACATGACCTGATTTTATTAAGGAAGAAAGTATGGAGTTGTGTAAAGCTAAGCTGTAGGCCAAGGTTTAAGCGAGTACTTTCGAATCTCTAACACTTTCTCCAGGGTCTGTATCAGACTTTGTTAAAAATAGTCGGCTAAGTTCCATTTTCTTTATACTGAGTCTATACTATAAGTATAACCGGTAATCATATGGTTTCGAGTTCAATTTAGTGTTACACCTTTTGCACTGGCGGTACGCTTTTTGCGCTGGTGTTACACTTGAACTGCACTGCTCTCAGCCAATCAGAATCGAGTAATTTTTTCATGTACATTATTATGCCAGAAAAATGCAACAACACCTAATAACCGTGTCACATAGCCTCATGCAAGACCCGCAACCAATAAGAGCGTGCCGGCTTTATTTGAATATCATTCATAAACCGAATTTATAGGCCTTGTGTGCACTTACTTAACACTTTCATGAAATGATGACCTCGCACTTTTAATAAGTACAATGCAAATTTGTTCTTACACAGCAATAAAACGCGCACAATTTTAAGTCGTTCTTATGTCTTGGGGCATCTTACGAGTTTTCTCGTTCTATAAGGTGTCGACAATTGCTTCTTAAGAATGAACAGAAAATTCTCAGGCGTGGAAAAATTTCCGTCATAGCTAGACCAGTTCAACTAATCTAGATCTAGTACCCAATATCCTCGAATCTTTTTGTCCAAGCAAAGGAGTCAAGGGCTGTGGGACGAAAAGGTCAGTAAATATTGGAAGCCCATTTCCCACTTTATAGCAGGAACCAGCAATGTTTACCTTGATCCATCAATTCCCTCCCAAAAGAAAGTGTGAAACTGAAAAAAAAAGTTCAAAAGGAAACAGTCAAAACTTAAAACTAGTAAATTTAAGTATAACTCTGCTAGCGTTATATCACGAATGCCTTTCTCTTATTGGCTACCTTACTCACTATCTCTTCTGTTTTAGATAGTAAGTAGCCTCGTAATGTGCGGTTGTTAACAAAATGGCGGCCGTTTCTTTGCGTTTTAGAAGTTACTGTGAAGAGGGTTTAGATAAAGTTTTGAACGACTAATAGTTTTATACTGACAAAAACAAATAGATTATTCACTCTCGATTTCTATGCGTGATAGCTGAGTTAAGCTGTTCCCTCTTCAGTTATCACGCGATAGAAATCTCGAGTTCATAATCTAAATGTTAAATACAAAATATTTAGACGACGAAACGCAAGCATTAGAATTACAATAATATAAAGAAGTAGTAATATATCCTTTCACTGACTGGAAATTTATTGATGAGACTCCAGCTCAACTTCATTGTTAAGAAATACTTCATTCCAACTCCACGAATGATCTGCGGGAGCTGGGCCGAGTAACCAAACGTGTCTGGCAACCAGAACTGGTAAACAAAAACAAACGGTCAATCATGTTTGTGGCAACTGGTAAGGCGATTTGAATTATTGTATATATATCCTAGAATTTAATACAGTGAAATAGGAACTGATTTCCTTATTCATTTGCTCGTAGAAAAAATACAAATCTTATTAACTCTCCCCAATGGGGTTTTTCGGTGTTAATCACGGCTACATCATCACTGCTCCTAGATTAAAATAATCACCACGGCTGGAGCTGTTCCGATTCAGTTACATTAATAATTAACCTCAATCTAGAATTGAAATTAAAGTAGACTGAAGATTTAATTGTTTTTGTATAGTGTTTTTCCTTGCTGATTTTTGGGGAAAGGGGTGACAATGATATAAAATGGAAAGCTCACTGAAACTTAGAAAATTGAAATCAAACTTCACGCTAATCTTAATCATGAATAGTCAGGCCCTGCTCTTAACAAATTCACCTCTTGGCACACTTGTCCAAATTCCTTTTGATAAAAGTTCTGTCCAACGACAAACTGACGAATGAATGACTCTCCACTGGGAATGTTACCATCCTGTAATTTAAAAAAAAAAAAAACATACCGTGAATTTTTCGTTCACTTTTAGCAGGTTTAAGAAGAAATAAATAAATGGGGTGTGGACGATAAAAGCGCGTTAAAAAGCCGCATATAATGACCTGCATTTTTCTAAGTTCGCCTCAAAAGGTCCTTATATAATTAGGTTCTTATAATAAGGAGGTTTAGCCTAACAGAATCCGGCTTCAAAATTAGGTTCTTATATGCGGGTTTTTATCATACCAACATTGTACTAGACTTTTTGCGTAGTCTACCAAAGATTAGCACGCTAAGCCCCACTGTCAATGTGAGAAAAAGTATGCAACCTCGTCTCAAATGCTGATAAAATGTTAATGACACAATAAATTTAATTTACCGGAGAGCCACGAGTGTTCTTACCATTTCTACCCAAGTTCCACCCACAGGAATGAACTGCCCTCTTGCAGCAAACACTTTGATCTCCTCAAACAAGGCCGGGTAATGGATTTTAACCCACTCAAGCTGTTGCGCCTAAATTGGAAAAAGAAACATAGATAGTCAGAGTAAAACACTCTGAAACAATCTGAAACCTCAGTAAGCACGGAGCACGGGAAACGCCTCCAATAATTAGATTAAAAACAAGTGTAAATATTAAACAAACCTGCGAACAAACAAATTTGAAGTCCGGGTATTTTTCCATCAGCCGAACCGCTGTGGCGAAACTTCGACCGCATTTCCTCACTGTCTCGGCAACGGGCCACAGCCAGGCTACATAATAAAACAGAGACATCATTATCATGTAATTACTAATAATGAATCTCTATCATTATCTGCATCAAGCGATGCTTCGTCCTTGTATGGTGCTCTCCTCAGATCATAACGTGAACTCGGTCAAAACCTCGGGGAACAATCCATGATGTTGTCGATGTGATAAGCAACCGCGGGAAAAGTGGTTGAGTGACAACTCTTTTTGTTACTTAGGATGGATATCGACTTACCACAATCAATATGGCAGTTACCGACCGCGTGTACCTGGTGCTGAGATTCACCATTGGTTTGTTTGAGGAATCTGGCGGCGATCTCGTGAGCTCTGGAACCAACAAAAAACAGGCTTGTAAGTTTTTTTTCGGCGTCTGAATTTTTTTCGTTGGATTAAAATCTTTACCGCAAGACGGATGTCACTGAGAAAAGACATAGATCTATTTTTGCGACAACTACCATGATTCCCATGTTAATTCTAACTTCCATTGAGCGTAAAAGTGGTAAAAATCTAAAACATAGTTGCCGGGTTACAATAACGCTTCCACAAACTAAAGAAAACTGTTAAAACATTAAAATAGTCTTCTAGTGGAGTAAGAAAAACCGCGAACTGCACACAGCAACAATTTTCAGTTCAAGATGTGATCCCGTGATGAAGATCTTTATTGACGAAGATATCAATTCACCTTACCTCTGGAGCGATGTTCTGTCTGACAAATCCTGACAAGCATTGACAATGTCATTTGCAGTATAAAGCGCTTCAAAAGCTCTCGGATTTTCTTGCGAGAGATTCTGGTAATAAAATAAGATACACGCAGTTAACAAACAAAGTTTTGTATTGCGAGAGCGATAACAAAAGAGGCGTACATGTAACTGTAGAGCGCTCCAGTTTATTCACTGCACTTTCACGGAACTGGCATCGAAAAATAGTGTTAAGGGCCAATAAGTCGATTCGTAAGATGGTTAAATTTTATCTTCTCTTACTAAGAAAAGTGTGATGAATATGTAAAAATGACGAGAACGAGATATTTTAAGCCATTATCTGGCCCATTATGACCTTACTGTACCCCGAGGCATACATAAAGTTCAAAGTGCGGTGAAGATGATAACACCCCTAAAACAGCGCTCAACAACAGACCTAGTGGAACACCCCCCTAGATGTGCTTTTTTTGAGAGGGGAGGGGAGATCCTTTCCATCCTCGTCCTCCCTGGTGAAACAAACACTTCACCAAGCCTAGCAGATTCAATATCATTTCCTGGTCAGCACTAATTCCCCTCGTGGACGATGCTTTCAGCGTAAAAAAAAATTGCAAAGCTCGCCGATCTGAATTTGGGTACGATTTTTTTACGTCTCCCGACTACGGGGGAACATGTTTACGTTACTGCACGTTCGTGTTAGCCAATTTTAGGGAAACTGTCTCTTGGTTTCATTTGTTTGCTGTGAGAAAGTTTTCATCCTGGTTTCACAGGTTTGTTGTTACAGAAAAGAGTATGAAACAAGAACGTTCGTCTGCTTAACAAGCGTTCCCGCATTATGGGCGCGCAGAAATTGAGGCGCGACCAAAATGCGGAAAACTTTGGCAATAATTATATCTGATCATAATTAGCAATAATTTTACTATGATACTCTGAGCATAATTAACAAAAGGTAAAGGTAAATTCTGCATGCGAGCCAAGTGGCCCATCAGGCCGGAGCTTATCCTGGTTTCTGTAGCATGAAGCGACTAGGA